TGCCCTGGACTACTTGTGAGCTACATGGACGACTTCCTATACCTTGGTGGCCAGCCTGAAGACATTGAAAAAGTGAAGGCCCACTTTGCAAGCTACGGTATGTATCTAACCACCGAAGACCTCAACGGACCTGATGCTAATGGTTTACTAGTCCTCGGACATGAGCTTTGCGATAATGGTAACTCTCTTCTACTGCCTACCTACAAGTATAAAGATGCCTTCGACTTCGACATCTCCTGCACAGTCTCATATAAAAAAGCTCTATCACTCCTCAATATTTTATGGCAGGCTTGGGGCCTATTACCATGGCACATTCTCATCATCAAGAACTGCCTGACTGCACTAGTTTCAAGATTAAGAGCTGTGAACGACCACAAATGGACTGACGATGTGGACGATAAGGCTATGAACTTGCTCAGAAGATGGCAACAACTGTTGAAGGCCAACCCTCCAACTCCGACGCACCGGTACATCAATCCAGATGCACCTATTCATGTCTGGTTCGACTCCTCCGAACTCTTAGGAGCGATGGTGGCCATGCAGGACAACCAAGTGGTATTCAAAAAGCAGTGGAAATGGTCCACTCAAGAGCGAGCCTTGCACATTAACGTGAAGGAACTCACTACTGCCTACAATGCTCTCTCTACTCTTGTCTCCTTCGAGCTCGATACCAATAAGAAGTTCTCGAAGATCATCCTCTACGGCGATAATCGTACAGCTAATGCTGCCCTAGCCTCTGGTAAGGTCTGCACTTCTGGTAAGCAATCGACTCTACTTCAACGAGCTATCGACCTTATTCATTACCTTATGGGAAGACGCCAGTTTGAAATTCACTATGTGGCCTCTGCCGAGAACCCTGCTGATGCCGGCACAAGGTGTGACCTCTACAGCGATTTGGTTAAATACCGTGATTCTATCGACGGTGTAAGTCCTGAGATTCTGTCTGACGATGATACCTCAGATATGAACACTGTTCATGTTGCTAGAATCATACGTAAGCGTGGTGACGTGGACGAAGACACCAACGAGATCGGTGACAAAAGACCACGACTTGAACCACCACTACGAGTTCCCACCAATCCATTACCACCCCTACAACGACCACCCTATTTGGACATTTCAATAGACGGCGGGGCCCAATCTGATTCTGACGACTCGCTGCTACCCTTAAGACCTCTTGCTGCTGCTGGGGATCCTGCCGGAATCCGAGTGGTTTCGAGTGGCTGCTTTGACTTCGCCCCACAGGCTGGCCCGCATAGGCCCATTGGGGAAGACGAGCAGTTGACGAGAGGCCACGAAGACTTCCACCTTCCCCATGCAATGTCTGACTCTGTCATGCAGCCATGTGACGATGCCGGTTCCGTTGATTGTGTACATGCCGCTCGCT